AACACACTGGAGTAATTCTCAGAGGAGGGAGTAACCCTAACAGTGAATTCCAATTGCTATGCTGCAATGTTGCAAAATTTCTTGCAGCCCAGGATGGAAAACATTGTTGAAAATGAAGCATTGGGAGACGTGTGATTCCAGCAGGATGGGGCTACAGCTCACACAGCCCGAATGTCACTCAATGTTTTGAAACGCATGTTCCCGGATGTCTGGTGTCTCTGAGGGGTGATTTACAGTGTCCTGCGAGGTCACCTGATTTGAGCATTTGCAATTTCTTTCTTTGGCAACATCTAAAAGAAAGGGTGTTCAGAAGTCACCCTCACACCCTACCACAGCTAAGGGAATGGATTATTGCAGCAGAGGTTATGGTCATACCTCGCCATATGTGTGAACGTGCTGTAGGAAACTTCCAAGAACAACTCCAAAAGTGTGATTCAGCTAACAAACCCCATCTTCCTGATATTGTTTTCTAAACATAAGTATTTTAAATGGTATGTTATGCTAATCTTGAGGAAAATTGATGTGACCGAGGTTAAAGGTATAAAGGGCCAAGTGAGGTGACACCGTAGTGGGCAGAGCTTTATTACGAACTGAGAACACACTGTACAACGGGTTACCACAATGACTTATCTTGTTGCCATACAGGCAAGCTAAACGCTAAATGGTGATTACCACAAAATAAACTTTCTTCTTTATGTATCTCCATTACTCTTTTATTTTGCCTCAAAACTGTTCAATCAGTTCTGCCCCCACCCTGTATAAGCTAGCTAACACATTTAAATTGTATATTGTAATCAATATATAACAAATAGTCAAATAGTTAAAGACTACTTATAGCCTTATAAGAATTAGCTAAGCTGCTAACTACATACAATGTATTGCACACTTGATGCCTCTGTACCAAAAACATTCAATTTATTGGAACCTAATACACACTAAAGGCAACAAGTTTATATCTGCTGTCTTGCATAGGAAAACTTATGGAGAGAATTATTCAAAGAAGAATTGAACACTACATTGAAAGCAAGCACTTACTACCCCCCACCCAAACTGGATACCAACATTGCAGGAGCATCATGGACATTTTGGCTGTGCTAACACATACTATTAGGCAGGTAACTATAGAGGGGAAGCACAGTTTGATAGTATATATTGATATTCAGGGAGCTTTTGATAGTGTATGGCACCAGAGCCTCATCTGCAAGATGATCAACTTAGAGTTTGACTCCCAATTGATCCGATGGATATACCTGTGTACAGGTTGGGAACTGCCTCTCTGAAATGAAGCCTATCAACTAGGGGCTTCCCCAAGGTGCAGTCCTTTCTCCAACACTCTTTAACATAATGTTGAGTGACCTCCCAAAATCCCCTCAAGTGAAAATCCTTTCCTATGCAGATGACATCACCTTAGTAGCAGTCTCCAACTCTGTGGGAGCTGCCCAGCAGAGGATGCAAGATTATTTACATCTACTCAGTCATTGGCTGGAAAAATGGAAGCTCTCTTTAAACCCAGTAAAGTGTTCCCACCAACTCTTCATTCAAATACGCAATGTTCAACCAGTACATGTTCTCATATAAAACCAAGCCATCAAGAACATGACTGTGCAGAGGGTCCTGGGAATACTCTTTGATGCTCCAAAGCTCACATTTCTCACCTTAAGGATGAAGGCCTCCGAAGATTGGCACCTCTGTGGGCTCTCTCAGGCAGTAGCTGGGGTGCCTCCAGACGTCTACTACGACAGGTATATATCAGTTTTATTTGCAGCAAACTTGAGTATGGCTGTGTTTTATTTAAAATTAGTGAAATCCCTGCAAAACATACACAAAAACTGAAGTTGATTCAGTCCAGTGCTCTGAGAATTATCCTTGGGGCACGTAACACATCTCCTATTACTTCCTTAGAGATTGAAGCCCACATACCCCCACTGGAGATAAGGTTTGATTACCTGTTTCTAAAGTGGTATCTGAAAATCTTGTGCTGTCCTAAAGGCACATCTGGAAATGACATCTGCAATGAAGTGGGTGTCCCTGAGTATAACTTTGCCAACAGTTACTTCTCTGCTAGATCTCGGAGTCTCCTAACCGGCTTGGTTGTTCCCAGGTTTAAAAGAATTCCAAAACCCAACATTTCACCCATACCTCCACATTTCAACTTGGAACTTCACATTCAGCTTTCCATCTAAAGCACCTGCAGCCACGATGCCCCCACAGGCACTAACAGAGGTACTATTTTTAACAAATACTGCCACAATCATTTTCCATCTTATGTGCACATATACACTGATGGATCGAAGTACAGCAATGGTTCTACAGCTGCAGCCATGTATATACCAAGTCTTCAGAGTGCCACTACATGGAGGTTGAACCCTGCCCATACAGTCATCAGATCAGAACTCTTTGCAATATGTTACTCGAGGCCTTGGAGTTCTGCTGCTTGGACCTGAGACTCAGCTCAGAAAATATCCTGCTGTTAACAGATTCCCAGTCAGCATTGCATGCAATCAATAATACCACCAGTCCCTCATACAGGGAATATGTCTTCAAAATTCAAGAGTTGATTCACAAAAGGCAGGCCTCTATAGTACTACAATGGGTGTGAAGGCACTGTGGTATAAAGGGTAATGAAGTGGCAGACAGGGCAGCCAATATGGGTCATCTCAATGCTCAATCAGCCTTAAGTGTGTTAAGCATAGAAGAGTCCCTGACTGTCTTGAAAGGAAAACATCATCAACACTGGACTAGAACATGGAAGACATCTATTGCTTGCACCCAGAAGGGGACTTTTTTGAGCAACATCATGGATGAACCCAGACTGCAACCCTGGCTCTGCCTAAAGTCCCGCAGTATGGAGTGTGCTGCCACTCGACTTAGAATTGGACATTCCGGTGTCAGAAGCCATCTACATAGATTCAACATGAGTGACTCTGATCAATGTGCTATGTGCAACACTGTGGATACTATTGAGCACTACTTGTTGCATCGTCAGCAGCATGCACATGAGCTGAAAACTAATTTAAGATGTATAAATGTAAAATTTTCTGTGCGTGAACTTTGGGGGGAGGGAACTATGATGCTGATGTACAAAGGAAAATCTTTCAATTTTTGATGGTAGGTATACATTTTGAAGTCAGGTAGGGTTAGCAAACTTTAGACAGGTGACCAAAATGGAAATGTTGCTTACATGTATGTATAAGTGTGTATGTGTGTGTATATATTTATATTGGTGTAGTTCGGCAGAAGCTTCTCTTTTATGCAAGTTTGATTGAAATAAATTTAATACATTTTTGATGCTCTGGTCTTCAATCAAACTTGCATATATTTATATGTATATGTACGTATGTATGTGCATGTATACGCATACATGACCTAAATTATCTTACTTGTATTAGTTTACCCAATTTAACTACCAGTTATTGTGCCAAGTTCTATAAGCAATGGCCCTTGCTTTCTGATATTTTTTTCATGCTATGTGTAACTTTTCTCTTACACGCTGCCATGCCCAACCATCATGTCCACTGATTTTTTATAAGCAAGGATAAAGTGGATTGACTTCCATGCCAAGAGGTCCAAAACTGCAGAAGCTCTCAGGCCCAATGGTCATCCTTGCGGTTGTCCTGTGGCTTTAAGTCCACCCAGCGTGGACACCCGGAAAAGAAGAAGAAGAAGACGGTACTGTCAGACTGTCACTCTCTGTGACTGTGAGTGGTGACTGCGCTTGACTTGCCAGCCACAAGTTGATATGAAGTATCAAAAAATATTTTGCTGGACATAAACAAGAATACTATTTGATTTGCCCCAATACTGCATTAAAAATTGAGTGACTTGTTTTCTTATTGTTTTGGTCATGTTTAATTTCCTGATTAGCTTCAACTTCAAGATCTTGCTCAATAGTTTTTTTTATGTATCCAAATTGGCCCGTAGCCTGGTCTTACCTACTGTCTTAGACTCTCAGGTAATCAGGTTACATCAGGAGCTCAGGGCCCATACTTTGAAATTCAGCCTAGATACTTAGAAATTCAGGCTAAGGCTGAATTTCTGATGAAACAATAGTGATGATTAATGCTGGTCAGGTCAGTGGTAATCTGCAATACTTGACTCAGTCACAGACTTGCAGCATTGCAGGTGACCAGATGGCAGATCTGCTGGTCCTGGTCTCATAATGATGAATCAACTTCATGTATGGCATACTATATATCATATTTTATATAGTAATTTATTATTATATAAATAATATTGGTTAATAATTTATTGTATACCTACATTTTAGGTTATTTCTGTTTATGTTATATAATGAATTAAAATAAATCATGGTTTATTATTTTATTAAGAGATGTTATGATTAATACCTACTAAGACTACTATTTATCATTGTTATAGACTTACAAGTACCTATTTTATTATTTGTCTTCTATATCAAGTTTTTAGCTCAGTAGTCTTATCAATCATCACATTCAGCAATTGGATGTATCTTTTGTTAATTGCCTTTTTTCAGGTCTTTGGAGCTTGATAATTAGTAATTGCCATTCATCTGCAAGACTGCAAGAAGAAGCCCATGGTAAAATTCTAGAACTGGATATCCATAAATTATACTAAATTCAATATCATTCCAGCTTTTCAGGCATTGAATAAATCTATTTTATAAATTATAGCTAGTCTTCATAGTTCCCAGTTTCCATGATTTTTTTGAGCAACAAGATTCCTTCTATATAAACAAATTATCTCCTAATTAACTGTTGACAGAAATGAAAAATAAATCTGCAAATGCAATAATTCAAAGAATGAAGCCACAAGATTCTAGTATAAATTACGAATTTTTCAAGCCTTTAGTTTTCTTACTCTTAGTTACGGTACTGTTGCTTGTTACATACCGTACCTATGTAAGCCCTGTTTATATTATCAAAATTTGCTGGTGCCTGTTCTGCATAAAAATGTACCTAGTAATTTTGACCCATTGTGCTGTTTTAATTTGGTTGTCTGACTTGTCTCTTACTCTCTTTTCAGAAATAATTTACCTGTTTACATATACCTAAGGCTGAAGTTTGATTTAAGGCAACTTTAAAAAAAAATTATCATCTGAAGTTTTATTTTGTGGAATATACATTGAAAAATGACAACCACAAGCATGGACATGACAGGATATGGAGGCAGTGAGAGAAGCAGTGGTGTGGGTGACACTGATTATGCTGGTGATGTGGCTTCTGGTGGTATATTTACATCTGACTACAAGAAGTAAGAAATTTGTCTAGAGTAATTGTAAAGTGACCACATTGTTAAGTGCATGAACAATGTATCTATAATTGTACAATGTGTATATTTCTTGCAATATTGATTGACACAATGTATTCAACTATTTGATCAGGAAAAATAAATCAGTTTTATATGTCTGAGATTTTTTCATGATATAAGCATCAATTAAATTTATTTCAAACAATAATGTTTCTTATTTGTGTACTGCAGGTCCTAATTCATATAATGCCCAAATTAACAGTAAAGTATAAAAAGGTTTATTAATTAAAAAAATTAGCATTAATTACAAATAACTTTGAGTTAACCTCCAGTTTAAGTTGCCTCTGTACAACAATTTAAAATATTTTTCTTTAAATGCTCTGTTTATGCTTGCTTCATGTAGCATCCATGCAGCAGCCACTTGTATATAGCTGTGCTAAAGCTTCTATGTTTGGGTTCTGACTAAAAATTCTCATTGAAATTTTTGGAACAAATCGATAAAAGACATGTATAAGGAGGTTGTCAATATTCTAAATAAATTCAATGTTGTCCTCATTTGATGTGATAATTATTTAATCTTTAAGAAAACCAATTTGTGTTTGGTTAGTAACTGTAAAAGTTAGGCTTCTTCATATTGGTTATTTTTGTTCTTTTTGTTTGACATAAACCTTGTGTTATTGGTTGTATATACGGTATATATATGTAGGTACAGTTGTATTGTGATTTTTATTGATAAATAAAAACCTTACCTATTTTAATTTCTCAGGTATGATGACTTGAAGCAGATGCTTGACAGCAACAAGGACAATCTCAAGCTGGAGGCTATGAAGAGGATAATTGGGGTGAGTTAATTATGCTCACTATGTAAGAACTTGCCTTTAGAACTATCTCATGCTGAATTAAAATATTGCAGTTAATGTGGTTATTACCATTATTATGTAATAAATTATCTTTATGATCTTCTTAATCATCCTTAATTAATTAATAAAATGTTCTAGCTACGGTACTTAAATTTTTAAATCTTGACACTTTAAATTTATATTCATGTGTTCATGTGTTTACAAAATAATTTTCAAGTTTTCTTTTATGATTCATGCTTCAGAATTCAAAATCAGTTTTAAATTTATTGAACCAGTTTCATAGTATGAAACAGTGATATGATTTTGTATTTCATCCAATGAATGTAACACATTTGTATTTATATACCTATATATTGGATTACCTTGCAAATAGATGGTTGCAAAAGGGCGTGATGCGTCCGAGTTGTTTGCGGCGGTGGTGAAGAATGTTGTCAGTTCCAACCTTGAAGTGAAGAAGCTTGTGTATGTCTACCTGGTGCGCTATGCAGAGGAGCAGCAAGACCTTGCCTTACTCTCCATCTCCACTTTTCAGAGAGCTTTGAAGGTAAACAAGAAATTTATTTGGTTTCTAAAAAGAATTTGCAGGAATGGGAAAACACTCCTGTATTCTGGTAAAAGTTTTTATACGTCATCAAATTTATGGTTGTTGAGATCTTCAGTAAAATTTTTCAGTTTAAGGCAATTTATTTGGCTTTCAAAAAATAATTTTAGGTATAGGATAAAATTCATTTTGGTGAAAGTTTTCATCATCAAATTTATGTTCCTTGTTGAGATCTGTGGAAAAAGCTTCATAATTTCATATTTATCATTTTTTTTATCATTGATGAATTTCTTTACTTATTATTTTCAAGTATTATAAATACAAATTGAAATATTTGTTGCACAATTTCAGGACCCAAATCAGCTGATCCGCGCATGTGCCCTGCGGGTGCTCTCCAGCATCCGCGTGTCCGTTATTGTACCCATCATGATGCTGGCCATAAAGGAGAGTGTCATGGACATGAGCCCCTATGTCAGGAAGACTGCTGCTCATGCTATTCCTAAGCTTTACAGGTATATACTCCTACTAACCTGTATCTTGCCATGCAAATTAAATGTCCTAAAATTTATTCCTACTATTTTATTAAATTGCTTTTTCTATCCAGTTTTTTCTTTTACCTTGGTTTGTTTTATATTAATTGCTTTGGCCCTTATTTTATTTTGGAGATGATTTTGCATATTCCAAAGATGCAAAATAAAAAGTGTTAATACCAATATTAATTTGTTTAATGTCTATTAATTATCCTAAAAGTAACTTAATATGTAATTTTTTCTAGACTACACTGTCAAGTCAGCATGGTGCAAAATGAAACAACCTGAGAGTCCTGTTGGTCCAAATGTTTCCATTGAGTCAATAGACTTTTCATGTGAATTCTAGATAATTTTGCACCCAAAATTCTTGATTCAAATGAAGCTTTATGAATGTGCAGCCTGGACCCTGAGCAGAAGGAAGAGCTCATGCAGGTGCTGGAGCGACTCCTCAATGACAACACTACGCTTGTCATGGGCTCGGCTGTCATGGCATTTGAGGAGGTGGGTTATCTTCCAATCTCAGTTTTGCTTTGATGACAATCTAATCGGTTGATCATATACAATGAATTTGACTCGCATAAATATACAACTAATTTTTGTGAATTTTGATGAATTGTGGTGACTTTTAATCCATAATAGTTGAGATTTTTTTTACAAATTTTTTGGTAAAAGTATTAAAAGATTTATTTCATTTGTAGCATCTATTAGTGTGTAATTGGCATTTGCGCTTGCATTAATTTTTTATGAAGGTCAGTTTGTACCTTCATTTATTGTATCACTTTTATAACTTTTAATTTCAATAAATGCATTAATTCTGTATCTTGTGTATAAAAAGTAAAGAGTTATTAATCACATAGATTTCCCAACATTTAAAATTAAGTTTGAAAACCATATCCATTGCTGTCATCCAAATAAACTACACATTATTAGGAGGATCTAAAGCCCAAAGACTGCCTAATTGCTCCTGTTCTCCTGACGCTGCCATCACAATGTGCAGGTGTGTCCCGAGCGCATTGACCTCATCCACTGCCACTACCGCAAGCTGTGTGTGCTGCTCGTCGAGGTCGAGGAGTGGGGCCAGGTCGTCATTATCAACATGCTCACCCGCTACGCCAGGACTCAGTTCCGTGACCCCAACCGGGGAGACAACAAAAGCACTGCTCGAGTCTGTAGTAGAATAATGCTAACTTGTTATGTGTCCTGTCAAATAAAGCATTATTGAATTGGACACAGTTCTTCATTCTCATCTACAGGGAAAATTATGACTTTGCTGTTCCAGACTTTCGTCCAAAATGCTGTTATTAGCTCATTTTTAGTTGAAGATGAAATACTCTTAGTCTTTTGACAATAATTTAATAAATATCACGTTCAATATTGTCTTTCAGGGTGATACTTCGACGAACTTCTATGGTGAAGAAAATGATGACGAAGACACCGAAAATCCCTCACCACCTCCACTGGATCCTGACCATCGGCTGCTGCTGCGCAACACAAAGCCCCTCCTTCAGAGCCGCAATGCTGCTGTGTGTAACTAAGCTCTTTTGCCTGCTGCCTTGTTGCCTCTTTTTGTCTTCTTTTCTTCTGAGGGACGTTTTGAAAAGTGTTTGGTCTTCTTGAAAGACTTATAGGATGTGTTGCGTGTGCAATATTTATACACACCTATGCTCGGAATACTTCCCAAGGTTCGATTCGCTAATTGGGTTTGTCTTCTTAGACTGTCCCGTGCAATTCAACAAATGAAGTGTATAAAAATATTTTTTGGAACGCTTCTTCAGTTGAGGTGCCTAGTGAAACTAATAATTTGTGGTCCATTGTACCACAAGTACTACTTTTGTTCTACTTCATTCTATCTTTCAAAATTTCCCTGATGATGATCACCACAACGTCACTCGACTGAGTGCCGCCCAGGCCCACCCCCCTCCGGAGCGCCGAGCCGGTCTTGCCACACTCTGACCAGTTGGGACACTTCCACTGGCTTATTCCATAGATCTTCAGGCTGCAGGCTGGTTGGAATTTCAGCACACCCAAACAGATAGTGAGCACTGTGTCCTCTTGATGATGTTATTGCACAGGCTACATATCCACTTTGGACCAGGATTACTCTCAATATCTCCCGCCAGCAGTAAGTATTCCCTGAGCCAGAGGACGGGTCTCCAGCTCAGCGTCACCGAAAAAAAAAACGGTGTAGCCTGACTGCATTTTGTGATGCAGTAGGATGATTGCTGTGATTTGCATCCGAAGATGGTACTCCCACGACGTACACGCCACAGCATTGGGAGTAGAACGTAGTAAAATTTCCCCACTTGCTTTTTTCATGACGGATTGTCTAGCCTCATTTTTTCTCGAGCAATTCTTTTCATTTAGATCTTATTGATTTATTATTATCTTATTATTGATTTATTATTATTGATTTATTATTATTGATTTATTGATTTATTATTAGATCTTATTATCTTTCTTATTATTTAGATCTTATTTAGATCTTATTTAGCTGTTCTTATTGTTGGTGGTATATAATATTTTAAAACGTTGAAACATTTTTTTGTGGCTATAGCGACAGATGTTTGCTAACAAATTTTTAGATGTTTATTGGTCAAAACATGGTTTAGGTGGCACACAGGTGGTGTATTGCAGATGTATCAGCACGTTTCGTCATTATATTTTCCAATAATTATTGGTTATAACATAGGTGGTGCTGGTGGTGTTACACTTGTATCAGCACATTGCGCCATTACATTTTCAAATAATTTTTGGTCACAACATAGTTTGTGTGTCACACAGGTGGTGCTGGCGGTATCTCAGTTGTATCAGCACATCGCCCCGAGCAGTGAGGCGTCTGAAGTGGTGCGCGCGATGGTGCGACTCATGAGGTCCCACAGAGAGACGCAGGCCATCGTCCTCTCCAACATCGCCTCCATCACTACACAGCGGAAGGTTCACTCTATGTTGCATCGTGATGAACTGACTATTGCTAACATAACTTAACATAACTTGCTGTTGTATTAGCAACATTATATTAGAGTTAGGTTATATTGTTAGTTATGTTAGAGATAAATGAGTTACATTCCTAACCTAACATAACTTTTGAATCGTTTAAATCGACCTGTGTTACATCATTGATCATTGCTGTAACTGTAAATAAAATTGTCTCGTATACAAGCATTGATCATTGATGCAACTGTAAATAAGAAATGTTTAATATTCATTTGGTCTGGAAGATAACAGGCTACATTAAATAGCCAAAACCAAATTTCATTGCCGTAGCGCGAAAGTTCATCATTAAAAAAAATTAATATATAGGTTTTTGTCATTAGAGGTCGCGTAGTTTCTGTAACCACCCTTAAGTTTAACTCTGTTTGTAATCGTCATAATAATTGCTTTATTGAAATTATGAACTGATCTCTTGTGCAGGGCTTGTTTGAACCTCACCTGAAGAGCTTCTTCGTACGCTCCTCTGACCCCACGCACATCAAAGTCCTCAAGCTCGAGGTTTGCTTTGGGATTTCTTCCCTGCAATAACATAATTGTAGTCAGCAATTTATCTAATGCTAATTTTATTTCTGTTGAAATTATCTGTATAAATTTTTAATTGATGTGGAAATCATTGTTTAGTGATAATTATGAAGCAAACGTGCGCAATTCGCATCTGTTAATTGAATTCTGATTGGCTAATAACTCGCATCCCAACTCCTCGGCCTCCGTACCTACCATCCCCATCCAGTACCTCCTGCCATCTCCCTTCAACATCACCTCCCATCCAATGTGATGAGTTCTAACTCTTCCTACCATCCGTCTCTTGCTCATATCTCCACTCACGTTTATTCTAGCTAAGCTGGCCTATCATTTCCACCACATTACACTTACTATGTGTCTATTTCTAAACGTGCTTCGTGTAGAAACGAAGCACGTGTTCCTTTTTCCATAGCTTTTCTTCCGCTATTGTCTCGACGCACACTCACATTTCCTGCGAATGCATGTTCAAGCTACTAAGAGAATAAAGTGTTATTCACCTATAATGAAGCTCGTCTGTGCTTATGCGTTGCCATGTGCAGACTTATTATGATTTTTCTACAGATTTATCCCTTATCTGCGCCTGCCTTGTGAATTAATTCACCATAGTTGGGACCTAATCGTCGTGCCTTACAGGTGCTGACGAATCTGGCAACGGAGAGCAACATTTCAGGGATACTTCGTGAGTTGCAGACATACTTGGGATCCTCAGACAAGCAGTTTGTTGCTGCTACCATTCAGGCTATTGGCAGGTGCACGTCCGCCTTTTCTTAGTTATATTCTACTGAATCTAATGAATAGGAATCAGCATCATTTGATAATTCTGTGTCTAGATATTACTCATCAATATGAATCTATTTTGTGTAATATCTGGATCTAGACTTAAGACTAACATTGCCAAACATTTGCTATTCAGAATATTGATTAGAATAACCTTACTTAAAATAGCTAATTTAGAATCCTAGCTGGACCAGTTGTTAGTTAAAACAAGTCTGATTTTCCTAAGTCAATTGCTTACACTGACCACCGTACTTCAACTGCCGTTTTTAATATTTTTCAAGATGCCCCAATTCCCAGACGCGGTTGTGGTATTAATTTGGTCGCTGGATTAAAACTGTTTTTTTGTTTGTGACTGAAGTACCACAAGAAGTTGCGTAGAGAATATTATTTTTTTAATGATGTTTCTTTTTTGAATAATGTTGATTTCCGTTGTTAATTTTTTTTAATCCGTTAGATGCGCGTCGAGCATCAGCAGCGTGACGGACTCGTGCCTGAGCGGGCTGGTGACGCTGCTGTCGCACCGCGACGAGTGCGTCGTGGGGGAGAGCGTCGTGGTCGTCAGGAAGCTGCTACAGACCGAGGCTGTGCCGCACAAAGACATCATCAAGTGAGCGCTCGGTACCTTAGTGGTGGTGGTATCGTAGATACCAGACCTGGCATCCAACTGCCAGCGTTGCTTGATCAGTTTATTGCAGCAGACAATAATATGTGGTAGCTTGCATGTACGTTATTTAGTCATCCCAGCGAATCACTTTCTGAGAAAATTCGTAAACTTCTAGGCCGATTTCTATTGAGCTAAGCTACTGCTACAAACAAACGCACTCCAATTGTTAATGTCATTCCTTTTGGTATCATTTATTTTTTCTACATTGATTTTTTCCTCCTTTATCATGAGTTGACCGACCTCTTAGCAACTCACTAAAGAATTAATTTCCCAAGATACTTTGCATATTTTATTGATCATTAAACAAATATGCTCATGATGTCTCAATCGGCGACGCAGTAAGGATACGGACTCAACTGTTAGTCCGACGCATCGAACAAAGTTTAATGTGTGGCTGTAACATTCTGTTACGTAAAGAGAGTTTATGTAACATCTACGTTAAGTGTTAGGTTCGTGTAAGTAACAACGTCTTAGTTTATTGTCTAAATTAATGTGACCGGCAGACACATGGCTAGGCTGCTGCCGTCCATCCGCATCGCGACGGCTCGAGCGAGCATCTTGTGGCTGCTCGGGGAGCACTGCGAGAAAGTCCCCAACATCGCCCCGGACGTCCTAAGGATCTGTGCCAAGTCCTTCTGTTCTGAAGTGGGTTGTCGTTCATGTCTGTCTATTTCTGACTTGAGTAATACCATATTGCCTAACCTATGCACATCCTTAGCTTTTGAGTTAAAAGATTCGAACTGGATGTGGCTTGTTTTTTTTTTTCTTATCAACTTCCTATTTTTATGCTTAAATGCGTACATAAAATGATTACGTTTTATTTTTCAACTTTTTTGTCGTGCCGTTGGGAAGCTTCACAATTTTATTTCGCCGTATTTATGCATAGTCGTTCACGAATGTTAATGGCAAGTATTCTGCATACTTTTTTGAAAAGGGGCCACCAAGGTAAAAATTTCGCTCGAATCCCCCTTATGGTTCGTAATTAATGTTGTAGGAAGACAGCGTCAAGCTCCAGATCCTGACCTTAGCCACGAAGCTGCAGCTGAGCAACCCTCAGCAGACGGTGCTGCTGTGCCAGTACGTCTACAACCTCGCCAAGTACGACGCTAATTACGACATCAGGGATCGCGCTCGCCTCCTCAGGGCTGTGGTGCTGCCATCCACTGGCGACGCCCCCAGCATCTTCACAGCTAACGCCAAGGGCCTCTTCATGGCATACAAGCCTCCGCCTCAACACCAGTCAACTTTCAAAGGTGATGACTTGGCTCTTGAAACAATGTTGAATGTGTTACTGTTTGAAATTATATGCTCTTTATTGATTAATTGTTGATGAGTGTTCGACGATAAAACAATCCTGATAAAAATTTGAAATCGCGTAGTGTAATCATTTGACAATAACCTAAGGAAATGAGTAAATATAGCAATGGTGCATGGTTTAATTACATCAAATCTCTGTAATTAAATAATGTCATGGCACTTTTTATGTAGACCGTGAGCAGTTCCAACTCGGCACCCTGAGCCACTTCATCAACGCGCGAGCCTCGGGTTACAAGGACCTGCCCGACTTCCCTGAGGAGGCCCCGGACCCGACGGTGCGGTCTGTGCCAGAGTTCGCAGACTCGGTGAGTCCCAAGCACAAAACTGTTAAGAAAACCTCCAAGACTGCCAAGAAATTCTACTCGTCAGGAAGTGGAGAAAGTGAGGACGAAAGTGACGAATCCTCGGACGAGGAGAGTGAAAGTAGCAAGAACGACGATGGATCTAAGAAAGAGAGTGATTGCAGCAGCACAAGCAGTTCACAAGAGGAAGATTCTGGCAGTAGCAGTGATGAAGAAGAATCCTCATCATCGTCATCATCTTCAGACAGTGATGAGGAGTCGAGTTCTTCCGAGGAAGATAGCAGCGGCAATGCAAAACAGGAGCAGCAATTCGAGTCGTCTGCCAAAAAGCCAGTTTCAGGCAAACCCACGAAGTCTGTTGAATCTAAAACTAAAAGCAACTTGGATATGCTGCTGTCACTCGATGAAGTCCCACCTTCCATTGATACACCAATGCTCACGCCTTCAATGGGCGGCTTCTTGCCAGTGGGTGCTGAGCCTTCTACCACAACCCCTGGCGTCTCAGGACCTGTAGCTGCTGCGGTAGCCCCAGGTTATACCTACGAGCTACTCAACAGAGTCGCCAGTGGAGGCTTGGCAATTAAAGCAACTTTTACTCGCTCGCCTCATCTTTACTGCCCAAAAATGGCTACTGTGCAGCTTTCCTTCACCAATTATTCTGATGAGATCATTCACAGTATCAGCATGGAGACATCCGATTCTAAACTGTTCCATCCATTCCCCAGTTTGAGCAATCTGGCGGTCGGCAACACTGCTCATGCAACGCTAGGTTAGTTTAATTCTTCATCCATGTTTTCAAATGTAGTCTAACATCTTTATCTTCAATGTGTTTTCTCGAGATGGAATTGGGCAAGGAATGACAGTTTGGTTTTCATTTATATATTTTCAACGCTGTGATGATACCATGTAAGACCTCACTGTTCGGTATGTGGCTGTTAATAAACATAAGTAGTTCATATTCATCACTACTACAGCTCCACCCAAACATATGCGTGTTACAAATACCTTCCTCTTATTATATTTAATTACTGAGAGTAATTGTTGTGCATGCGTCGCAGGAGTGGACTTCTGTGACAGCTCCCAGTCTGCGTCGCTGGGCATCCTAGCTGACGGGCGACGTCACGGCGTCGCCATCGCGCCCCGCGTCGGAGAGCTCGTCGCGCCCACGCGTATGGACGAAGCTACATTCACGCAACACCAGGTGGGCTCGTCTACCACTACCTACATCACTCGGTCGCACTGTTTTCATAAGTTGCACAAAACGTTGTCGTATGTAAATGAGCAAGATGTATGTCTTTCACTGCCTTCATTGCTCGGTCGTGCTCTAATAAGAAATTGTAAGTACCGAGCTTCATCTCACGCTCCTTCCTTCTTAGCGATGTTGCCTGTTGAAGAAACGTGGCTGAAGTGGTAAGGTTGGAGACGTGTAAATTGACCAAGCTGCAAATCTATGACCATCGGGAAGACTCGATGAATTATAAATGCAAATTAGACAGCGTTTTCTTGAAGAATTAGATACTCTTTCACTAATACTACCACTGCATGACAATGCTTTCAGATACCACGGTCCACCTCGTGAACCCGTCTTTCATGCTGGATATTTTCAATTGTGTTATGACGCTGTATTTCCTAATGTTTTATTAACTTTGTCTTATTTTTTAAGTTAACTGTTTAACTTATTTTTTACCAAAATAACTTTTGTGCGTACGTGATTTTATTCAGGGGTCCTTACGAGGCATGCACGAGCAGACCAAATCAGGACTGAAGCTGTCTAAGGAGGCGGAGCTGCAAGATCTGGTCGCACCTCTCCTCACCGCCGCTAACCTCTGGCTCCTTCAACACCCACAATCCATTAGGTTGGTGTGACTGCTGCAAGTATATTGTTATCAATGTAACAATCGCAATGAGCAGTGTTACTTACTTCATCATCGTTGCCATTTAGGCTATCATTTTTACTGCTCTTCTGTTTGTGCAAAAAATTGCATTAAACAAACACCATCACCATATTAACACCGCACCACATTAAACCACACACATTGAAACACCATATTAAATAACAAACCATCTTCTCACAAAATTAAACAGGACAATAAAATCCAAAAGCAACACAACCGGACTTTAAACTGAGCCTAAGTGCATTTCGTTCATCATATTTATTGCGCGAGCTCTGAAAATTCATGTAAATGAAAAAGCAACGATGGTTTCATATACAAAGTATATCTAACCTTTTATCTACTCATATTTTAAACGGTAGTCAATGCTATTTCTATTCAAAGGCAGCTAGAGACGGTCAGTGGACCCAGGCTTATTATCGCTTAGGAATTGTCCTCTGTGGCAGAGTATGTATCATAACTGTCCACACGTGCTCTGACGCGCGTGTTTTCTGTGGCCAGACTCTGCGGGAAGACGCTGAGTGGAGGCAGCGTGGTGCTGGTGGTGGTGACGGTGGCTGATGGTGAGGCGCGACTCACCGTGCACTGCGAGAAACTCACGGTTGCTTCCATGCTACTCAAGGAGCTCGCTCACGTCATCGACTCACTTTAAGAATCTTATTCATTGATATTATATCATTCCACTAATGAATAATTCAAATATTTATAATTATTTACTAGTGTTCATAATAATACTAGACTTTTTAGCGTGAGCTCTTAAAAGCCGTCGAATATTATGATAATGTTTCTCTGAATGATTTTAACAATGTTTTTTGATTTGGCATTTCTAATTGAGGTTTTCAGCTTGCGTAGCTTTGCATAGTTACTGTTGTTCTAAGTCTGGAGCTTGGATCCTTGTCCTCACTCCTTCATATTGGACTTTTCCAGTGGTCAAAGCTTTTTTTCAAATATTAATAGATCTACAGAGTATTCAGAAGTGTCATTATATTTGCAATAAATTCTTATTTGTTAATATTATTGAATGTTATATTTAATATTCAATATTTAGCTGGTGTGGCCACATTCATTTATCTGGTTCCTTTAAAATTGACTGAATTCGTTTGATGTTGTGAGAGCTGTAGTAGTGGTATTGGTATTGGGTTTTCTAGCGCTTCAGGAAGTCGTGATCTATTTTGCGCCAAAGTTCCAACTTCAAGTTATTCGGCGCCTACGACATCAGGTGGTTTCAGACTTGTATGGTTTAGGCACACGGTGTTGGTGATGGTCACTGACAATTTCTCCGCTACCAGTGCTGATGTCTGTTTAGCGCATTTCATCGCTCGTCCAGCGTTCAAGCAAGCTGTTGAAGTTTCCTTTTCTACCATAGGTCGTGAGGTTATAATGTGGCATCACGATGGCGTATAATTTGCGCTGGAGGCATTGGGACACCAGTATAAAGTCACCAGAGCAAATCGAATTCTGTTAGGTATCGCTTGACGTTGTCATGTCTGTTTTGTAGTTAACTCGGTGGATCTCCACCTGGATCACAGCAAGAGCTTCGTCTGGGTTTAGCAGCAATGTATTTGGGAAGCAGTTTCTTCGGTCGACGCCGTAGTTAGGGCACTCCGCACTTCAAGTGCAGCACGGTCAGGAGGACTAGAGAGTCATTGCAGTAAGGCATTGGGCGGTGTTCCATAAGGTATCTATGGGTGAGGCTCGTGTTGCCTAGCCTGCATAGAGCTTCATCGATACGCCGTGATCTCTGGCAGGACGCGCTCCAGACTAATACGCTGTCTCACAGAGCTCTCAGCTCGTTTCCCCCCACATTTTGCAGGCATTTTATAGTAGCAGGCATTACGGATGCCTGCCTTGATGATGAGGTAGAAGTCCGCGACCTGGGGACTTCTTCGTTGAGGATAGCATTGTTGGACTTTGGCACGCTGACCGCCGCCTCGTCCAGCATGTCTTTTCCACGCATCCTCCACGTTACTCGGCACCCAGCAGACGCTCACTGATATTCCGGCCACTGCCATCCATATCAGCCTCGCCAAGATTTCCAAGATGATGGGGTGTTGGCTGTTGTATATTCCCATAGATTTTACTACACCTTAGGGTTCATGAATAAGATGAAGTGCTCCTCTTGTAGGTCGTCTATGAGGTTCAGTGCGGAGAGTACTCTCTGGAGTTCAGCTGTGAAGATCGAGGAGTTAGGGTCAGGTCTTCTTGAAATTGCTGCAACGCCGTCTACTGCGAGAACTCTTATTCCTTTCAGAGTACCACATTCCTCATTTCCGTCGTTAAATGCGATTAGGGAGTTGATTATTTATTTAGAAGTTGATGTTAAGCAAGAGAAAGTGTAAGCGTGCAAGGTAAACGTCCTTCCTCCCTCCCTCACGCCGTGGGCTCACTTTCAAACTATTCACCAGTAGCTACTAGTTGTGTCACATTCAGCTAATTCAAAATTTTATACATTTATTGTTGTATTATAAAGAATTAGCTTATTGTAGCCGGGAATACATTGATAGTTATAATGAAAAACACTTTGATCTGATCGTGCGGTATGATCGTCAACGTCGTTCGGTCTTTATGCTCTTCGTTTCCCCCCAACATTGTATAATCAAGCACTCGTACACTCATGAGTTCATTCGAGCTCATGCGACCACAAGTAGTATTTTGCTTTCTGTGTTCGCTCAGATCCATATATTTAAATCCGTTTTGTTTAGAGTTTTCGCTTTCTATTTACAATTATTTTTGTTACTCTATTATCATCCAGTAAAAATGAAATTAGTATCTTTTTTCATTTGTGTTAGATATAATCAGATCTGGCGATCAAATAAACCATCGTTTGAGATCTTTGAGCTGTGGTCAATACGTAGTAAAACGGTACTCGAGATCTTAGGTAGCTTCATTATTTGATAGGCCTTGTCATGGCATTGAAGGTTTTCTTGACTGCTGAAGAAACGTATCTTCTGCTAGTCGACTTTACAGTTACTTAGGTTCATATCGTGAGAGTTCAATTTAAAATTTTTGAGATATTCAGGGCAAAAGGTGTGCTTAAGTATAAACAATCCACGTTTTGCAAAAGCTATCCCATTAAGTAAATCTTAAGAAAAAAACACTTCTGAAGAGGTTATCATTTTTATTACAAATGTGAGGGAACATCACTAGTAATGAAAATAAGAGCTTCCCAAAATTGAGCGTGGCCACTAAACGAGTTATTACACACTGTAAACCCATGGGTTGCAATAGAAGTTTTGTCCCCACCTTCCGTTATAAGTAACAACAATCGATGAACTCTTCTCACGGAGACAGCTGTATTGGTCAAGTTATTTTCTAGCGTCATTCATGCGGTCTTCGAAAATTCTATGATAGAATGTCGAACGTAACACTTGACTTTTATAGATGATTGAACCTTATTTTGGTCGTCATTTCATAGAAGCGTCTCAGATCGGAGGTTCCACACCTTAAGTATTACATAAATTAAATTTTTTAAAAAGGCCTAGCCTGAAGGAGAACATGGTCATGATATGCTATACGTTGTTGCCTGGGCGCGACGCAACTAACCACACAGCCATTTTATCGATACAGATTTTCTCAAGAAATTAGGTTCACTTTTTACTTCAAATTACGAATGCCATTCATGACTCACATTTAGGTGTTGACACTAAAAATTCCAAATGTAGCATTGCTGAAGAATCTTTAACAAAACATTAATATTGCTCTTAAACGCTCATGCTACCAACAGAAATGAGCAATGAAAGTTGAAAGATTGGTCGAAGGCCTCACTTTTCAACCTCTGAAAGATTGCGGGCTTACAAGGTGATGAAAGCAATAATTTTGCGCTGATATTTCAGATTTTAATTATTATATTGTTAGTATTAACCGCTCAAGCGGAAGTTTAAAAATTTCAATGTGCCAAAAATCGAAGTTTACCAATAATATTCAAAAAAGACTTTGGCTTTAATAAATGGGAGAATTTTTTCGAAGAAAGACTCTGAACAAAATTGATTGTGAAAGATAAATTCGGTGATGACATTTCAAACGTGGTGTGACACACAAAAAACACGTGTACAAATTAAGTACAAAATCCCACATACAACATTAACTCCCGTCAATAATTTTCTCTCATTTCTACGTATTTTTGCTGGAGCACTCACAAAATACTCTAATTATTTTTCAAATAACAAACAGCAAATTATGTAAGATTCAATAAACAAAAATAAATAAATAAATAATTTGTATATCTGGAGAATAAAATGCCAGCTCTTTAGCATACCACCCATTTAAAATTGTTTTTATTACAACAATTGAACTCCTGCTAATTGTGTCTGAAGAGGCGCCATGTGTAACTTAAAGTTCGTCATGAACAAGTCGCTCTGAGACAAACTTGGCCATGTTGTCGGTGGAGCGGTCGCCTTCATACGTAGCCTCCATCTTGCCGTCCCTGTACAGCAGCAGCGTCGGGAAGCCTTTCACCTGCGAAACACAAATACCATCATTGTCTAATAATCGCGGAGCATGATTATGGTCAGTTGGTGGCAGAACACAATTTTCATTACGGTCCATTGATTCCAGAGCACAATTATAATTATGAGTCTATTAGTCGCGAAATAGAAGTATGAGTGTTTTTTTTAATTTTTGAATCTGAAGGCTAACTTCATTTGGCCACGTAAATTTTATACTTTGCTACTGACGGTCTCTCCAGTAACCAGGCTTTCAGATACGAATATTATGTGTACTATTTCATTGGTATTGGAAAAAATGAAGGTAGGCAGGCTAGCATTTTACAACAGCACTCACGCTCTGCTCAGAACAAAGTTCCTTGTTGGCAGGCACCGTGCAGTCAACTTCAGCAATCGTGATGCCTTCTTGGCCCAAAAACTTATTGCCGAGCTCTTCATAGGCACCGGCCATCTTCTTGCAATGGCCGCACCTGCAAAAACAGACTTCAGATTAAACTATGGATCAGTTGCTTCTGTGCCAATAAATAAATACCACTAATAAATTATGAAACATAGTTACAAATTGACTTAGTGCCGAATGCACTCAACACCCCATAGAAACATGTCGGCCAAAACATCGAGAACGAAGGCCTCTGTGGTTGAGATGAACTCTTGGCAGGCTCATTCAATTTGCTACGACACTCTTGGCAGGCTCATTCCATCGTGAAATATGGTGTTTGCAGTTGTGTATTGTGTCATTTTTTGCTTCAATAACATCCAGTAGCGGGATTGACTTGCATGCCGTTAGCGTTAAATATGAGGTCGATAAATTTTCTTAAGATAAGTGATCATACGGCGAGAAAAATATAATTGAACAAAGCTTTTTTGTGGTTCTTTCAATTCGGTATACGTAACAGGGTGTTTGATGGTATTAATCCACTTCTTTTCAAATAAAATTAAACTGTCTTGCATACAAATTGAAAAGATCAAGATATACGTACGAGTAGTAATATCACATGCTTATGCATTATCACGAGGAAAAATGAATCAGGCCAAGTGTTGCTAAATTATTGAATGCTTGGTCATGACAAATGGCAAAACCGACAAAATTATGTACTAAAATAAACTTTAGGAACTGATGGAATCTCGAGAATAGTTCGTAGCAAATTGAATAAAAATAACAGCCATCAAGAGCATCTATGTGATGTGATCGCATGGCCGATTAACACGATCTGGCCGCACCAGACATCGTTGCGGGCCTGATGTGGGCGATATCGGGTGACTTTTTCTACGCCTCGCATACGATACTCCATTTAAATGCTTATAGATAGACAAAAAAAAACAATTGAATCTAGAAAATAGCCAATATAGATGCCAGCCAATACTATACTAGTAGAGATAATAGACAATACTAAAGATACTAGCCAATATTTCAACTGACCATGGAGCAAAGAACTTGACGAGCGTGAGGCCCTCAGCAATGGTGGCTTGGAAGTTGTCGGCCGTGAGACTCAACACTGAGGAGGTAACCTCAGGGGGCGAGGGCGTACTGTCGCTGCTGGGGGCTATGATAGTGGAAATATAGACATGACAGGAGTTGAGAATAAAATAATTGTTTATTTCAGTAACATGCATGTGATAAGTTTAAAATATTTTATAATAAGCAAAATTTTGAATGGATTTAAACATTCATAGACAATAGTATTAACAATATTACTAAAGTAATTAATATACTACATATACCATATGCATGAATGACCTTTGATTGATGTCGTCAAGTAATAAAATAACTATAAAAAAAATTAGTTTAAAAACCTAGCATCTGATAGAAGTTATATCAATTCATCACCATCAAGAGAAAAATTTTGGGAATTAAAATCGAAATAATTATACATATGAATAGGTTCAGTAGAAGATGAAAGCAAATGAATGGTTTATATTATAAATTGTTTAAACATAGAATACAATGCAAGCAATTATTTAATCAATAACCTTTCAACGTGCAATATAAGAATAACATGATACGTGCCTTCATCATTCTTGGGGGCATCAACAGTGACAGGCTTGCTGGGCTTCTTTGCCTGGTCAAGAGCAAAGATTCGCAGAGCGTCCAGGCTGCGGTCGCCAGCATACCGGTCTCCCACCTGCGAGGCAAAATAAATTGTCTTTGTAATAACCACTGTCAAGTTGAAGCTCTAACTATAATTACCAACGAAAAAATGCTTCATTATTGCATAAACTTTAAGTAAATTGCTCATAAAATGAAGTCGTTTTCAGATCAGGCCTCCTAATTTTAGTGATAAACTGGTTCAAATTTCCAAATAGAATCAATTCACTTAATGAGGGCTACGCATAAAATTTTCCCGATGGAGGTAAAAAAAAACACGGTACACAGTTCATAACAGACCTGCTTGCCATCAGTGAACCACAACAAAGTTGGGTATCCCTTCACTGCATACTTGGTGCAGATCTCTCTGTGTTCAGTGCAGTCCAGCTTGCCAATGGTGATGTGCTCTGTGTCAGCTAGTGAGTCAGCCAATTGATCCCAAATTGGTGCTAGGCGCTGTAAAGAAAACAGAATATTCTTCAGTTGTCCACCAGTTAAAGACAAAATGATAAGCGTAAATAAAACAGAATATTCTTCAGTTGTCGAATTATCAAAGATAAAAGAAATAGTTTATGCAATTATGATGATTTGGAGAATCTCACAGAAGGTATCTGGCAAATAAGCATGTCACACTTGCCACATACCAGTGAAAGCATACCTATATACAATTTGTGGAAGTTTGCCTTAAAATTAAAATTGTTTGGAATTATCATGTAATAATAATAGCAGAGTTGACAAACCTGACAGTGACCACACCAAGGTGCAAAGAACTTGACAAAGTGATGGCCCTGGGAGATGGCTGACTCAAAAGTATCAGCTGTGTAGATAATAGTGGCTGGTCCAGTTTCTTCTCTCTGTATATATCATGCTTTCATCAGTGATAAGTTCCAGTAAAATTCACATAGTAAAATTTTGGAATTGCAAATATTCATTTACCACAGAGATTTTCAATACCACACAGATTTTCAATACCACACAGATTTTCAAACTGATTTCAAATTGATGCAACATTCTATAAATCACAAAATTTCACAGATATTTTGAGCTGAGACAAGTGAGTAAATAGTGTGTTACAATACATATTTGAAATACCAAGGAGTACCTCCTTCTTAGGTTGATCTGGATTCTCAATGAGTCCCATCTGCTGCTTCACAAACTTAACAAGTTCAGGAAGAGAACGAGCTCCTTTGTATTTCAAGTTGTCCTCAGCCTCCTTGAAGAATTTTAAACTGTTGGGAACGGAAACATTTCATTATTATCATCAAAGCAAATTTAAATGAGCCCAATTTGCTGTGTTTCTAGAAATATACTTGAAATTCATGAAAATCAGTCTGAGAGAAAAAGTTTTCAATTCCAGAGTTAAAAAAGATTAATGGAAATGCAAATTAATGTTGTAAAGTTAAAGTAAAGGGCCAATATTTAAATCAACAATAATTTTGTTATCATTCACCATATCACTTGTATATATACACTAATAAATACATAAATTAGTGTAATTAGGCAGAAGTTCTTCATTTATGCAGGTTCAACTGAATATAATAATAATATATTTTTGAGAGTGATAATACTATATATATATACATTTCAAATGTTACAACATTCATTTTCAACTTATTAGAAGCATTAAAAATTGAAATTTTGTTGGACACAAGAAGATTATACATTTAAATAGGATACATACAACACAAAAAAATTAGTTTAGATTAGTAGACATTTTCAAACTCTATTTAAATTATAAAAAACTTGACCCGACTAAACCTAGCCTCTGTATGGTTAGACCTAACCCTAAACTAACCCTTTTTAATACCCTAACATTAATCCTAACCTAACACTGTTGACATTAACAAGCATATAGCGCAATTGCATTCATCTTTTTGTTGCCACACAATCAAGTATAAACTAGTTACTATGAATATAGTTCGATGCCATTTCAAAATTGCCTGAACTTACACTTGCTGATATGTATACACATATACAAACCCAAGCACAAGATCATTACGTAGGGTATCCAGTCACTTGATGTTGTGAGCACAGAGCTGTCTGCTGAGTGCAGTCTACTCGAGCAACTCCAACATTAAGTGCCTCAGTTTCAGATGTACCCGCACCATAGCCCCCAAGCTCATCATGAAGTTCTTGCCAAACAGGGGCTAACTTTTTGCAGTGTCCACACCTGCATAAAAACAATGACAATAATTTGCACAATATAACCACATTTTTGGCTACGATTTTTCACTTTTACTTGATATTATGAACTGCAAATGAAAAACAATAGAAGGCACTGCATTACCAAAATCTGGCTAAACATTGAAGCTTGATCTTTGCTTCCACAGAAAGTTAAGTTCATTATAATTTATTCTTGCATTGTCAATTACTTTCTCAATGATTTAATTAATTAAAAACATTTGCCTGATCAACAAAACAAGGAAATTCTTTGAATGATATACTTATGATATATAAATGATATCCTTATTTATGTGATAGATTAAAAAATTTGTATGTTGCATTATTCTTACCATGGCGCAAAAAACATAACAAAATGTGGCTTTTCCTTGATTGCAGTAGAGAAGGATTCTTCTGTGAGCAAAGTTGCTGAGCCTTCTTCTTCTAAATCATTTTCATGGGCTGAAATGGACCAAGCCATGGCCCCAAGGGCCAGAATTGGCACAAGATATGATCGAATGCTCATCATTCTAACTTACTACAGGAAATAAGAAAAAAGTAATAAGAAAGTATTTTCTTGACTAGGAACAAGAAAAGTTAATTTCAAGAATCACTGATGAAAAAGTACACAGTTTGAGGATACATTAATAAATTCTTTATATTTTAATATAAATTTATTAGGTGGCAGAGTTGAGGTGGTTGAGAATGGGTGATGTTCTCAAAAGCAAGACTCTAGACTAAATGAATGTTTTAGTACAGCATAAGAGTGATGTTTATGTTAGCCTAGGCCCTGTGAGGTTGGTGCCAGTCATTATGAACACAGTAAGCAAGATTGGAAATGAAATATACTTGAGCTGGGATTTTATTACCTACAGGGTAAATTAATGACAAGATAGTCTTTGAAAATAAATATTAAGCTACGGAAAAAAGTGTGAATAATACCCTTGGCAAGGTGAGCACCTGTTGAAGAGTAGATCTAATAAATAATCATTGTTTAAGATGAATAAAGAAATAATAATACAATATAGAAACAATTATTAAGATAATAAAAAGGAACCTATTATAGCATAACCTAACCTGATGTGGGAATCAGCTAAAAGATAATGACTACCTGGTAACAAGAAAATTGTGAAAGTGATATTAAGCTATTAACTTCCTAAACTTATAGAGTTTTCAGTTTTGCCAAGGTAGCGGGAAAGTTATATTTTTATTAGAAAATAAGGCTTGTAAAATGTGTGTGTAAAATACTAAGCCTAAAACAACAGAGCAAAAGTCATGATTCTAAGCAGGCCCGCTCAAGTCCTAGTGTTTGCATCTGCAGGGCTACAAAGCCTACTAATATAATGTAAGCAACCAAAATTTGAGCCAATAAGAGTTTCTTCTATCTTATTAGTCAATTATTATGAGCAAGGAAAATCTGCAGCTCTGTAGACAATAGACACAGTTAGAAAATTCTTAGCAGTAGCCAGTAATGGCAGCTAGAGTCTCCTAATGTCATTGATCCTGCTGAAAAGCATAATAGTCAATCATAGATTTTTAGCAATAAATTTTCTTGACTTTTGACCAGAGATTCTTTAGGAATTGGCTCATTTTTAATTTTCTCATCTACTCAAGATTTAAACCTATATCTTATGTATGATAATGCTGGTAGCCTACATATGTGTATCCAAGATACTTTGCTGGCCTACTTTTGGGACTCACAAATGAACTTCATGAATTCTAAAAAAATCTCTGTTTTGACACTATGGACTTGCCAACTTCAGTGTTAATATGTAATTAAGTGATATAGGCAGTTCAAAGCTTTGTTCAATATAAATATCCTTTGAGTGTCTACCTACGTCACTGAGGAGCATGGTGGCCAAAAATATGGGCGCACTTGCCCCAATAGGAGCAAGATGGCTGCATGCTCCTATAAGAGCAGGCCAGAAGCAGCAGCAGTGAACTCATCCTGCTCCTATTGTAGCAGGACGAGCACTCTGCTGGCTGTTGCTGCTGCCTGCCTGCTTGTATAAGTCGCATTGAAGTGCACGGCCGCCCAATCCCACTCCCGCCCCTGACCCCTCCACTTCTCAAGTGAGTAGCATTGTAGGGCTGGAGCACTCCAGTGACCAGTCCTCCTGGTGACTGGTGAGTCTAATTGACCAACCATTTCCTAGAACTCTACCAGTAAAAATTGAGTCAAACCGAACTTTGAGTCTTAGTTTGCAAGAATGCAAGTAAATACTGGCCAGCCCAGGGTAAACAGTGAAAGTCAACAATTGTTTTTCATATGGAAAAGGTAAATAAAATAACTCTTCTTTTCTTTGTCACCCAGCGCCAGCCTGACCCAGGCATGGAATATATCTACTTGGCGAGCTGCGACTGAATTTTTCGAGCCGTGGTTTTATGGATTTGCCAGCCAAGATTCCATTTCTTCGAGCCATGATTCCATTTCACCAAGCCGTGAATTCCATATCTTGGCCATGAAAAGTCATTTACGAGGGGCAAATTTATTTACAAAGTCCATGCACGTGTTACCCCAAATCTCTAATTTTACTCTAAAACAGTCAAATGGCAAAGATAAAATTTGTCTTTACTGTAAGTTGAGCATGTGTTAATGCAGTCTGACCGCTTTGACATGACCGGCCATAGTGGCAAAGCAGAGAGTTTTTTAGACTCTCCCTCAAGTTCATTTTTGAGTCCTATAAGTAGACAAGTAAAGCATAGTGGCAAAGCAGAGAGTTTTTTAGACTCTCCCTCAAGTTCATTTTTGAGTCCTATAAGTAGACCAGTAAAGTATCATGGATACCAGCATTATCATACTTAAGAAATTGGTTTAAATCTTGAATAAATGAGGAAATTAAAAATGAATTGATTCTAAAAAAATCTCTGGTTTGTCACTATGATTGACCGCAACTATGCGCGATCTTCAACAAAACGTTTAGTTGATTTGTTTGCATTGCGATGTTTATGTTTTTTCTGCAGGATATTTTAGTAGAAACGGTAAAGCAATGCGGATTACGGAAGTTGAAAATTTGATGAAGTGACAGGTTTGCGAAGTGCAAACTGCAATTTTTCAATCAAACAAAAATTTATGACATTCGAGCCACGAGATTTCATACCTACTGAAATTATATGATATTAGAGCCTGAGCCACAATATTTCAGACAAAAATAGGACTTTTCCAGCCCTGGCCTGACCCAGGCACCCATTCCAGAAATTGGGCTGAAGCCACCAGTCAAGTAAATGAATCAAAAACATCTGTGCTTGTGGTAAATTTTATCAATTTTGTAAGCCATTTGCTTGATTTATTTCATAAAATAAAGAAAACAGCACAATAACCTTGTAATTTTCAAAAACTGCCTATGAAATCTTTTCTACCTGCAATTTTCACAATATCTGCCCACTATTCCAGTTTGGTAATAGCCATAGCAGCATAGCCAGTGCCCATTTATGCCCAATTGCCCCAATGGCCAGTGTTTAGACCCTAAGTAGCTACATCCAAATTTATTGAAAAGTGATACCCAACCACTGCAAAAAATGTCGTAAATGCATTGAACTTGGTGGTATACTGGTATAGGTAATTGGCATAGTACCGCCGTCCGCCGCTACCGCATACCTATGTATTTCATAATTTCAAGTCATGATTTGATGACCCACCATGACCACCCTGGCCAAACGCACTGGCAAGGGCAGGCTTGGTTTGATTGAAATTTTTGCGAAACATAAATCTTTCTCAATCAGGCTCACATTGCTGACGTTGGATTTTGAGTGGGTAATCTCACTGATCAGTCTGACTCTGATCTTAGTTTATTCTGTAATGAACATGCATATCTAATTACCCATTACCATTGATGTACCTACCGGTAATTATTTAAAAGACTACTACGGTATTTATGTTCAGTTCAGATAAAATTAATCCTGAGCAGGCTGAGCAAGACATTACTGAAATATTTTATAAATCTTTTGTTAAATTCTGTAATCTTTTCATAATTGACTATTGCAGTCACTATAGTGACTATTCGCTACTGGTAGTCTCACTAGTCTGGTACCACGTATTACGTTACTACGTACCTAATTATTGGATTGGGTAGTAATGACTAATGAATGACACGTGTGATAATATTTAGTCGTTACAAAACTCAAAACATAGACCATAACCAATGGACAAGTGATTGATTGGAAAGAGCTCTCACATGTGATATTACAGCAAGACTGCCAGTAAATTGTGACCATTCATAGGAAATACTCTTTTTTATTAAGCATTTCTGCCCATAACCTAGGTAGTAATTTACACCTGACTAAGGCTGACTGCTCACTATCGCACTCGCAGCGCAGCCTGCGCAGGTCGCAGGAACATTCAGTCCGTCTTTTTTGAAAATTAATAGTTTAGTAATTCCTTTACAAATATAACCATTATTTAAAACTTAAAAGTATTGAAAATTATTCTGCATGACTTAATATTTTCAAATTATACCATCACTTTGATCACAGTTCAACACAGACATTTCGAAATTCTAAGTGTATGGACTGTTGTGATGGTTGTGACTTCTTGAGGATTCTGGTTCGAGCTGCGGTTGACGACGGACGTGTGTAAGTTACCTAACCATATAGTAAACTGCCATATTGTGAAACACTTTTTCTTTTGTTACTTTGTACTTGGAAATCAGTCAATAGTACTACAATCTCAACTCCGAGTATGTCGCGCCATAAGCGGCGGAAGGAGAGCAGTGTGTCTTCGTATTCAGACGAGGGCACCGGCTCTTCTTCCTTGCCTGCCTTGAGAGCTCTTACTGAGCCCAACTTGCCAATAAGAGATCCACCAAACAATCGCGATCTGATATGCATTCCTGAAACACCAAGCTTGCCATTACTAGATGCATCCACAGTAATTCCAGGCTCTGCTCATGGGAGATCAGCTGCCTCAGATTCAGGCCCTGGTGACAAGACAGTCAAGACTGGCTCTGCCTAAAGATAGTAACTTTGAGGGTTTCTATGGGCATGGCAAAAATGACTTGTGTGGGATCTCCACGAGCTCAGTAACCTCTGAGGATGAGATCTTGACTCCTGCTCAGAGACCTGGCACACAAAAGTACAGGAGAAATTTCACCCAGTTTACCAGAGAGACAGGAGGTCTAGTCCCTGATTCCTCCAGCCTCAGGAAGGTTATCATTATTGAGCCAGTTGCTGACGATCGCCCTATAGAAAAATTTTTTTCTAATGATATAGCCCTCAGCAAGGCATTAGCTGAGTCTCCTTTTGGTAGAGCTGGAATTGCTAAATTCAATAAAAATCTAGGTCGTAAGCTCCTAGTGATTACCTTGCAGGATGAGCCAAGCATTGAGATATCATCATATCTGTTCTGTTAACCACCACTCAACTTGGTTCATGGACCATAAAATGTCGTGTCCCCATCAACCACTCAAAGTCGGTTGGAGTTATTGGGCCTATGGGTGAGGATGTTACAAATGAGGATTTAGGAACTTTCTGAAGCACTGGCTTTAGCCAGCTATACTCAGAGGTGGGCAGTAGCGCGCTACATGTAGCGGCCGGCGGCCGCTACATTTTCAGTAGCGGTTGCGGTAGCGGCTCTACATTTAAGGCAATGTAGCGGTAGCGCCCGCTACATTTTTAAGTAGCGATACGAGGTTTTGCCGCTACAGCGCTACCGCTACATTTATAGATAAAGCCTTTAGATTTTACTTAATAGTATTAAATATTATTTAAAAACCAGCATGATACATACATAATATAAATTACAGAATAAAACTGTACGAAAGATTTAAGTGTAATGTTGTCAACCTCAGCCTGTTACTAGTGTTAACATGTTAGTTGTTACTTGTTACCAGTTACCACTTACAGGTTTTTTTCATCTTTCAGTTTGCTTACAGTTATTTTTATGTTTCACCTTCCCTACATGGATGTCTACTTCAATCTACCAANTTGTTGCTGTTCACCTTAAATCCA